GATGCATCTACATACATACAACTATAAATACCCACAAATATAACATAGGCAGGTGACAAAGTATTTTCCTTACGTCTGGCATAGTATCTGTATGAATTTCTCCAAAAGCCTGCAACACTACAAATACACACATAAATTACAAAAAGACTTAAACTCAGAGACTTAAGGAACTCTATTTGTATATACAATTACTTAACTTGCAATATTTTCTTGCTGCTGCATTCAAGTCAACAAACTGTCATGCAGATTCAAGTATTTACTGATATTCTCTCTAAGAAGACATTCTCTCAGCATGCAATGGGCCAGTTACTGTCCTAAGCAGAAGGCTACTCACTTGGGTTTTGGATATTTGTAGGTGCAAAAGGAGACTGACCTTGGACTTCTATCTTCCTTTTAAGAGTGAGAGACTAAAAAGGAATTTGAGGAGAAGCAGTAACAAAGCACCTCTCTAACATTAGCTGGGATTACTTTGTGGTAAACCATTGGTCTCTAAAGTCCTCTGAATGGCTTGATGGTGTAAGTTGTTAAAAGACTGGTGGAGAGGCATCTGCTAGCCTGGGGTGTATCACTAGTCTGGTTTGGGAGAAGAGGTGGCCAGAAAGCTTTGGAGCAAGGTAGGCTTGGAGCCTCATCTGCCTACCAGGCTAAAAATTCATCTTTTTCTACCAAAATAAACTTTGAGCACTCTGCAAAAAAACAGATGCTATTAGACCCAAAGTAGCACTATTATTCACAAACTAGACTATACTGTTAACAAGTTCTAGAACTTCACTTTGGTTCTTTGTTTTACAGTGCTAGTTTTACAACTGGAAAAAATTCTGTCATTTGGAGAGTGAAGAGATTAGTTTGGTGCTGAAGTTAGGGTGCCTACCAACTTGGTGAAAACTCAACCAGGTCCACAATAGCAAAGCTACAGAGGTTTGGACTTACATGGCTAAGAAATTTCCTGTGAACTCAGACTGAAAAAGTTTAACTCATGACTGCAAAGGAAAATGCCAAAGACATTCAAATTCCATCAGTAACTAACTAAATCCAAGAAGGTCTGGACAGACAAGGGAGAAACTTTGTTAAGGTCATTTTTGTTCCATTGTCTATTATTAAGTAAAATGGCAGAGAAGAGGTGCAGCTCATGGGCCAAAGCAGGCCCTGCCTTACCTAGGTACACCTTCCCTGGCTCTTCATGTGAGAGGCAGCAATGGGCAAGGAGCAGTAGAAAACTGTGTCCACTGCACTTAGGCAGCAAAGAGCTAATGGAAATTTTTCCCCAACCTTAGAACTTCTGTGGTGTGGTCACAAAGTAAAATACAAACTTAAGAGACCAACCCTAACTTGGCCTTAGAAAGTCAGCCAGATTTTCCTCTTCTAGAATTAATTCCCTCATGTCACACCTGACTAGGAAACAGTCCTCATCTTCTGGATTAGATTTACAGTCTGAGAAGCATAGAGGGTCTGATAAGTGGACCAGCTGCTTTTTAGCCTCTCTACCGAAAAAGGGCAACAAAAAAGATTACATACATAGTCTAGCAACTACATTTCTATCAGAGAACTCTCTTTGATTTTACTGAGATTAAATAAAATGTACAGAAGTATTGCTTAGTTTAATTAGCAAACTGGTATTTAAAAAAAAAAAAAAAAACTCAACTAAAATAATGCCTATGACCTAGCAATAAAATAAGGACCTTTCATGCTAATAAGGGATTCTGACAGCTAACAAGAAACTCCTGACACCTCTGTAAAACTCAGGATATGAGGTTGGGGACGAACTCCAAAACACTCAAATATTTTATACATGGGCCATTTCTATGGTTAATTTTGAAAAACGACTATCATCATGGTATTGTGATCGACATCAAGATTTTATATAATACAAATCAATATTAAGTATATTTATGTCCAGTGGAATAAAGTTTTACCACATGGTGAGAAATCCCAATGCTCCGAGGTGCTGAGGTAGGGATAAGGAATGGCACGGAGTAAGGGCTGGGTGGTGGGGTACCTTCAGAAGGAAAGGAGGAGTCAGAGAACTCCCCTGTACCGTGGATTGGGCAGCAGGCTTACAGCAGCTGTGAGAGGAAAGTCTTCATTGTCTCTGACTAGATACTACAGAAATTACCATAATTGAAAATGTGGCTGGCTATAGGCCAGACTCTCAGAATCTAGTCAAGTCAGAGAAGGCCATTTCCTCACGTAGTATAAACTCATGGCTGCCACATGCACTAACAACAGACAGTAACCTTCCAGAGACATCACAGAAGAGCTGTTCTTGCCCAAACCTTAAAGATAGACAAGAGCATGCCAGGGCAATCTGGGATCCTGACTTACAAAAGAAACCTTTGAAGTTGTTTTTAAAGATAAACTATGCCAACATAGTTTACAGCAGCTTCAAAGTGCCCTTCTCATCTAATTATCTATTAGTAGATCCAGAAGTTCATGGAGATAACACAATGAGTAATATAACAGGGACAATGCTGTAGTGGAGCTGATGCTAACCAAGTATTTCAGGATTACACTAAACATTAGAAATACTGTAGCAAGGTACCATTCAATGCATATTATATACTATAAGTAAAATGCATACAAACATTCTATATACAGACACAGACACAGACACACACACACACACACACACACAATGGGCAAACACATTCAAGCCAGTGAGGAATATATATATTTTTCATTATTGAAGCTCATAGATGACATGATCTAGGTACTTCTCTTCCCTCTGCTTAGGATAAATATGTGGGCAAAAAACAAACAGGAAGATAATTCCGATTCTAGGAAGAAAGATGACTTCCTTATGAAAACCTTTGATACAGTCAGAAGCTATTAAAGCAAATCAGGTACAGGGTCCATAGTGGTAACCAGTATGTTTCCTGGCTTTGAAACATAAATTTAAGTCATTGCTTCTACCTAAAAAAGACAGAGGGCTAGAGTGGGCTTTTTAAAGGTGTGACAAAATACCTATCACAAAGCAAGCAGCTACAGCCTTGGAGAGAGGGGTTACTCTTCTCTGGGTACCAAGAAAATATGAGGATTTAGAGAGGTGAAGGAAGTAAATATTAATAAATAATTCAATAACTAACTGCTGCTATACCATAACAATATACTCTACCACTTTACCAACTACTGTGGTTTTAAAGTCGATTATCTCTAATTCATGGGGAACCACACTATTCACACATAGCAGCTGATTCTTTGGTCAAAGTACCTTCAACTAAGAAGTGGAATAGAATTAGAGCAAATTTCTGTAGGAGAGAAGAGACTATTCAAAGCAATTCCATTAGTTCTGAAGTTGTGCCATTTTGGAGATTACTGCTTCAGTATTACAGAATTTCAAGGTTTGGCTATCAGAAAGTTCTAAGTCACAGGGGCTGACCTTTCACTCACTCCCTTATTTCCCTCTTCAAGAGAATGTTCTGTGTTATATCACAGGGACCGTCACTGGACCAAGGTCATGACTGTAACGTTAAAACAACTATGTGAGTAGGCAGAAACAAGTGATTAAAAGATATAGTATTTACTTTCAGTGAAAAGTTCAGTAGTGGCAGGGTGAAGTGGCTATCTAAGAGACAGAGGTAAGAATAAAGTGTCTGCACATGTAACCAGCAGACTCTTCAGTTTTCCAACCACAATTCAGACTATTTATTCCTTAAGGAGACCTGGTGGTGCAATGGTTCAGCCCTTGGCTGCTAAGCAAAAGGTCACGGTTAGAACCCACGAGCTGTTCCTCAGGTGAAAGATGTGGCAGCCTGTTTCCATAAAGATTACTGCCTTGGAAACCCTATGGGCCAGTTCTATGGTGACCTACAGGGTGGTTATGAGTCATAATCAACTCAGTGGCACACAACAACAACAACAACAACATTCATTATTTTCAGATTTATTTTAAAGAACCAATACGTGTTCTGCTGCTGAACAAACTACAGCTAGTCTTCCCCCAGCTCCGCTCCACTTTATTTTGTTTCAACTTAAGGAAAGAACAAAAGGGGCTTCATTTTCAACAGTACTTTGTTAGGAAGGAAGACCTCAATATTCTTATAGCCAGGAGATAACCCCACACCTATCTAGGGAGAGAAAAGTGAAGGTCGGTGAGGGGGAGAAGGGGAGGGGGGGAGGGAGGGAAGGAGGGAGGGAAGGGGGGAGATAGAGAGACAGAGATAGGAGGAGAGAGAGAGAATGAATCTACTGTTGGATGGAAGGGTATTAAAGGTAGAGATGATTCTGGATTCTTAGTTTCGAACTGTGGGAGTGAGGTAACTTCCTGTAGACCAAACATGTGCCTACTGCTGCAGCTCCCCAAGAGCTGATTATTATTGCCGCTATCCTTGAGAAAACAAAAATAACTTGGTGCCAATATTTCCACCACTTTCAATGGCAAAGTGATTCCACTTCCTCTTTTCCTTGCTTCGCTAAAACCAGATCCATGCTTTAAGCAAGCTACTGTGCTTCCCCAAGTTCTCCCTGCGATCTTCACACCCCCTTCCCTCCTTCCAGCAGGGTCAGAACTTGATAGTAAGTGCTAAGATGCACGCGCCGCCATGTCACATTGGGAAATCTTGGTTCCCAGAATTGAAATTCTTAGTTGAACTTCTGTGAGTGGTCAATTTCACTTCTGTGACTAGGCACGATTTCACATACAAAGGCTTATATTAACTCTGGCTAGAATTTACTATGCTACGAAATTTGTCCAGTTAAGTCTTCCACAATGGATTAATTTTCTTTTAACCTTAAAAAAAAGTGTAACAGCTGATTTGAGAATACATAAAACAATTGAGCAGAGTGCAAATAAGAGAAAATCAAAGGAGAAGGGATACACAGTTCATTCTGAAATCATGATGCCCTCCCCCTCACAAAAGGTGCATTAGCTGTAAGTAGCAAAAAACATCAAAGCAAAGAAATCAAGAGCAGAGAGACAATCTGTACAGAAATTAATAGAAATAAATATACAATAGAAAATGTTACTAATGCACCATTTAGTCACAGATTTTTTTTCTTTTTTTAATGTATCCACAGATTACCAGAAAGATCTTGAAAATCCCTATTTTGCTCCATGACCAGCACTTCCTGGCCACAGGTAGATTCTAAGTAACTTTCTGCTTAATGCTTGGTGTTTCTGGTCGGTGATCCTTCCTCTCTGACACGTTACGCTTGACCTTGGCAGTGACTGGCGATGAATCAGGATTCAGTGAAGGACTTGAATGTGACTTCTTCAGTCCGGCTCCCTCGCTTTCACTGTTACTCAGGAGCTCTTTGCCTCCGTCTTTTAGAATGCCAACATAAATATCATAACGAGTTTTCTGGAGAGAGAAAGTCAGAGAAGAATGGAAGTCAATAATGGCTTTGCAAATATGTTTGTGTAACATATTGTATATGAACAAACTTGAGAATGTGATGGGCTTTTGATGATTCAATGTCTACAAACTAACAGATTAATTGGGTATATACGAGGCACATGAGAAGTAACAGCTATTGGAAATGGATTGGTTTACTGATTCATTAATTCACTTATTTAAATAAGTAACTAACTTAGAATTTAGTTCTCATGTATTCTGCATTCTGAAGGAAATGTCAATTGGGAAAGAAATGTCTAAGCTGGAAGAGGTATAAGCTGTGGTTTGGGGTGTCTGCATGGCTCTTGATCTAGGTCTCACTTGAGTTTGGCTTGGATATACGATTGTTTACTATTTCCTGCTCCCTGTAGTTCTATAAATAGGAGCTCTGGTGGTATAGTGGTTAAGGTATTTGGCTGCTAACCAGAAGGTCAGTGGTTCAAACCCACGAGCTGATCTGTGGGAGGAAGATGAAGCAACCCACTTCGGTAAAGATTTACAGCCTTAGGGATCCAATGGGATTTGCTATGAGCCAGAATCAACTTGATGACAGTGAGATTGGGCTTATTTATTTATTTATTGAGTAGCTCTATAAAGCCTCACTTTGAGAGATCATTCTATGGTGAAATTACTCTCTAGTCCTCTATGAGACTTTCTAGAAGCTGCTCTGGTTTCTCTCCATTGCTTTTCTGATAGGAAAAACATTTGTTTATTATGGTTCTAAATTTGTTTATTATGGTTTCCTAGAGAAATTCAAATTAGTTTCCAATGCCTTTCTCATTCAACAACATTAACTGCATCATCAAATATTATTTGAATACCTGCTATGTTTTAAACATCTTGATTTCCTCTTGTTATGTCTAGATATCTTTTTCTAAGAATAATTTGAGAAGAATACTGCAAAGATTATTTTTCTCTCTCTTGCCCTATTTGGTATTTTTTTTTAAAGTTCTTATCACTTAAAAGCAGTATATAGAACTATTATGTATATATTAAAAATTACAGAAGGGTTCAGAGTCTTTGATTTAATAGATTCTAGTCAAAATTAATCTTCCACTATACTGCCTTAACACATGAAAGATTTATAGAAGACCTACAGTGTTTCATTTCTAAACAAAAGAACATGTCGGTTATAAATTGTCCCAACAAAGGCAGGCAGATTTTGTTATGACTATAAATTTTTTAAAGAATTTTCTAGTCAGATTGGGGTTTTGTATACCTCATTTTTAAGTCAGTAATTGTGAAGTACTACTGTGTGTGTGGAGAGGGGAACAAAACTGTTCATCATTAAGTTTGTTCTGGGGTTGGTCAATATCAAAGTGGGGGTGGCTAGGCCTCAGTTGTTGATAACAGTGGCACTTATTTGGTGCCCACATACTTGTACCAGGTAATTCTTATAACAATCATATGCAATTGGTACCTTTATTCTTGGTTTACAATTAAAGAAATGGAGGCAGAGAGAAGTTCAAAGTAAAAATATTAGCAAGAAGTGAAGATGAGATTTGAACCAAGGCAATCTTACTCAAAAATCCATGCTCTTAAACAATACTTCTAGATATGAAAATATAGATATATAAATATATATTTCCATATGTTCCCTTTATAGAATTTTTCTATATATATGAAAATGCAGATATATGAATGAATATATATTTTGTGATACCTATAATGGTAGCAAACAACAACTCTCAGAGACACTGTTGGTTGTCACTTCAAATTTGTTCTCAATCCCCTGTTCTTCTATACCACCTCCTACTACACAAAGGCTGATAACACCCCAGATCTTTCTTTCCCAGACTCCCTTGGAGCTAGGATGGGTCATGTCATGTTCTGGGGAGCTTCTGGGAAAGAGAATATGCTATTAAAAGGGATAGATTTTAGAGAGAGAGGTCATTAGTGCTAGCCCCTCATTCTTATTCCTTCCTTGACATGAATATGATGCCTAAAGCTGCCATCTTGTGACATGGGACAGCAAACATGAATACAAAAGGACAACATGATAGACCTGAGGAGAAGTGGAGAGACACAAACAGCCTGATTCTTGGATAAAACAATGACTTGGATCCCTCCCTAAGACTCCTTATTACCCCTGGATATTCTGTTAAGTATGAATGACATATATCCTTATGAGTCAAGTCACTGTTCTTCAGATATTGTTACTGGCAGCTTAAAGTATTACTAACAATGCATTTTAATTGATACAACTCAAGTTTAATAAGAAAGTAAGAAAGTAAAGCAAAGAACATGTTACATGGTCTCTCAGAAAGTTACATAAAGGTTTAATAAGGGAATTTACTAATAAAAAAATGTCATCAGTATTATAAACCAGTTTACACATTAGTGAAATCAGGGGATTCAACTAAAGGATATGCAAAGGACATGCTGATTCTAAAGTCCTGTTCAGTCTAGGAGTTCATTACTTAATTTGTCTCTAAACTACTTTGGGTGGCAAGATTAAGATGAAGGAAAGAACTACTCCTACAGGAACAAGGTTTAGTAAAATGATCCAGACAGTTGAAGAATAGATTCAGTAAACTATGTGAGGCATACTATTTCACAAGGTTGGAGCATACATACAATGAATGGCATTTGAAAGATAATTTTTTTGAGATGATTTAAAAGGAGAAAAGGTGATAGGGCTGTCTTCTTCCGGTCATTGAAGAAACCAATACCACTGGGGAAACTTACTTGAAAAATACATGAAGGAAACTATCTTATCCACTTAGTTCTACAGTTCCAGCTGCAAAGCCGTTGTCTTAAATAAATTACATTAATGTCAATCAATAAAAAAAAGGCACACACAAAGGAGTAATATAAGGCATGAGTCATCACATTAAAAGCAAAGACAAAGCAAGAAAAGGGATGAAGGGGGGCCAGAAAATAAAGTTGTTGTAAAGAGGAGCAAGGAGGAGGACATGCAGTTTTTTAACGTCCAAATGGCTATGCTCCATTTCTGAGTTAAAAAGGTACAGGGAAAGAGGCCACAAAAGGCAGCAATATAGCTCTTTTCAATCTCTTGATTCCAGTTTTTACTGAAACCAAACCAAATACCTCTTCAAAATATCTTAGGAAAACATATCTTTAGTCATCTCATAACCCAGCAGAGGGTATGGTTCAGTAATGATCTTCAGGAGATTAAAAGGAAAGACTGCCCTGAATGAAGCTCTGGAGGTCTATAGCAATGAATATAATTTTAAAAGTCCTTTCTTCATTGATTTCTCATTGTCTTTTCTGTTTTTGTGAGTATTGGGGAGATAAAAGTGAGAAATTAATATTTTTCCTAACCATGAGATATCTTTGGAAATATATTTCCTTTTTTCCTTTCAGGAGACATGACTCCTATCTTTTTTTCCAAGACCAATAGTAAAATTTAGGTTTTAAGTTAAGGCTGATTCATAAGGAAAGGTAAAGCAGCAGCCAGAGGTATATATGTAAATTACTTTTTAAAAATCTGAAGTAGCAGCTCAGAGACTAACAACCTGATGAGCAATGTTCAAATGGTTAACCTTGACCAAAAAAGTCAGTCAGTATGATATTATGGCAATCATTATTTACTGCTTCTCTAACAGTTTCTTTTCTCATGCTAACGAAATTGATTTTTATTGAGGATGTCAATGTGCCCAGCCCCAGGAGAAGAATCATTGGTTTAAATCAAACATGTTTGGTTGGTTTCTCTTTGTCAGCCTCCCTTGCAGCTAGGATGGTAATGTGGCCTATATTTGGCCAATGGCATATAAGTAGAAGTCAGCTATGGTACTTTTTGGAAAGCAGCTTTTACTATCTTGATAAAAGGTGGTAAATGAAATGTCTGGAGATATGGCAACCATTTTGAAACCATGAAGTGATAAGCATGAAAACACAAAAGCCAATGTGTGGCAGATGAGAAATTGAGAAAGACTGTAGGTCCTTGACAGTAACATCAAGCAGCCAGTAACTACCTACTTCCAGTCTTAAGTGAGATAATGATTATACTGTTGAAACAGTCAAGTTTTCTGTTATTTGCAGTGAAATCAGTCATCTTGATAAAATGATCAGCACTAAGCAGCTTGATCTCAATCGTCAGAAAAATCCCAGTTGACCTGTACATGCCCCTCCTGTCTTAGTTTTATTTAGAAAAAAAATATACTTGATCCATCAGCTTTGCTATAATGTAGCTTTGCTAGGGTTCTCTCTTAATATCAAACCAAAAACCAGACTGCCATCAAGTTGATTCCAACCCATAGCAACCCCTTCTTGGGTTTCTGAGATGATATCTCTATGGAAGTAGATTGTCCAGTCTTCCTTGTGAGGAGTGGCTGGTGCATTTGAACTGCCAGCCATCTGGTTAGTAGTCAAATGCCTTAGGCACTATGCCACCAGAGCTCCCACTTCTCTACTTTGGGCAACATTGTGGTTACATAATAAATATTAAGTCAATGGCTATTTTATTATTTCCATTGGTAGTTTTATATCATTTGTTTAATATCAGTGGGCATTAGAGAATTCTCTCTGTTCTCCTAGTTGCAGGATTTCCTTCCCCATAAGTCTACACCATGCAGGATCTTCTTTGCTAACAGTTAACCAAAATTTTGAGTTTTATAACAGTTTCTAGTCTAGGTAATGACTGGTATTCTGTTCTTTAGGGAGAAAAGTAGAAGAGACTTCATTAATTCTAAAGAAGGAAGTTTCACAATGAACACTTGGTCACTGACTCTTCTCCTTCTCTAACATCCCACACCCATTCTGTCAGCAACTCCTGTGCCTCTGTTTTCAAAACATATTCAGAATCAGACCATTTCTCACCACCTTCACCACTTCCAGTCTGGACCAAGTACCATCATCTTGGGCCTGGCATATCACAGTAGCCTCCTAACTGATCTTCCTGCTTCCCTCTTTGCCCTTCATTTACACTCTGTTCTCAAAGTAGAGTGATCTGTTAAAATGAAGTCAGAGCATGTTAATTTTGCTCAAAGCTCTCCAACGGCTTC